ATATGCTTTCCTTCTGACCGAAATATCAGTCGTTTATATTCGCGAATAATAAAATACGAGAATTGCTGAATAAGAAATAAAAGAATTAGCAATCTCGATACAAAAATTTTCTAACCGTTTCATCTATAAGCGCAATCGAAACAAACTTCGACTTCTTATCGTAATAAGAACAATGAAAAAAGAAGTAATAAGAACTGAAAAACCAGCAAATAATGTACCGTGACTATATCGTTTCATCGTTGACACGATAATCTGTGAAACCCGTGACAAAAATCTGAAGCGACTTTTTGCAGAGATTGTAAGCCTGCTGAACACTTCATCTTGTAATAGCTACCAGCCGGTTCTTTTCCTCACGATGGTATCGGCCAACATTGATCGAACGATTCAGCCCTGCCTAACTCTCATATTACATCCACGTTTAATCCTAGATACCGTTGTATATAGATTCGAGCATGAAAATCGGAGCAACGTTCGAAGCCTGGCAGCATGCAGATTACAAACAGCATTAATTACATACTGAAGATATATGTATCTCGAGGCATTGTATTATCCGATCGATCGATAATCTGTTGATCGATCGCTATTTCTATTGCCAGCTTCGATTATCTATGTAAAGCTACTGTAATTCAATGAACCGTGCATTATAATTCAAACGTCTTTAATTAGTTAGTTAATTAATATATATTTATTAATATATATTAATATATATTAATATAATTTTCGTGACACGCGTAATATTTTCTACGAAAGAAAATAAGAAAAGTCGTTGGCTTTATTAAAAAAATTATAACGAACATTTCGAATTGTTATAATAACTTTTATTCTAATCTATGTTTGTATAAAAAATTTTTATTCGTAATGTATGTAACTAATTCAATCATTTTATTTTTAGAGAATTTATTCTCCTCTGTAAAATATTTCTGGAAACTATACTCCGGGTAAAAGAAATCCCTTAAGTCTCTCGACCATCAAATTTTCTCACATCGTCAAAAAAGAAAAAAAAAAAATTCTTTAGACAAAATACATTCTATCATAATACAATGCGATGATTATTAACACGTCAACATCGATTCTCTTCAGAGAAGGATACAATTTACATTCTGTTAATATCTTCGAATCGTGTTACAAACATAATCGTTTAATGTTATCGTTTACGATACACGTCAATCATTGGATGTTGCATATGAAAAGTGCACAAGAGAGGGAAATGATGCGAATAAAGATGGACGACTACAATGAATAGAGATTTTGGAGTGCAAGGAAAGGAGGCGTGGAGGCGTGCCGCGAAACGAAAGGGCTTTCCGGCGAAAATGAAAAAGTTAGGATCATCGTGACGATTTTTTTTTTTTTTCTTTTCTTATTCTCAGTCTGACAAAATTACTCGCGATCCCCGAGACATCCTAGCATAATTCTATGTTAGTGGAGGCAGACCAGAGGGTTGGGCGAGATCTATCCTATGGGGTAGATTAAAGTCGAGAGGTGAGACGCTTTCGAGTGTTTGGCCAGATGAGCGTGTTTTGAAGGAACGGTGTTTCGTTTTAGATTCGGCAATTTTGCATTGCTAGAATGAAATGTGGAAAATTATAGAAATTGCCAGGAATGTATTAAGACTATCGCGCGTATTTGAATATTCTGATGAAATTTCTTTGATGAAATGGTGCAAATTAAAGAGGATGCATCGTAATTTATTTTCACACAAATTTGATGGCCATAATCTTTTTGCAGACGTTGACGTCAACGTTGAGGAGAAACATCGAGATATTGTTTACAATTTGCATTTTTAATTTGCGATTAAAGTCAGAATTGAAATTAAAAATTTTATGTGAAAAGAAATCCTATTCTTCGTTAAGATATTCATCTCTCTATGTTTCTTCAATTAAAATTGCGACTCGTTTTTTGCATTTTTTAACAAACTCGAACACTAATAAAATATACCAGTCAAAATATATTTGAAGTGTGTAAAGCATCGAGAACGTGTTTACAAGCTACATCACGATCCCTTAAGGAAGAATATCGCAAGAAAAGAGTGTATCAACTAACGATGTATCCAGTAATCGAAGTACAGCTACGCGAAAAGAATGTATCGAGTCGAAGAAGAAACTTTTCTCAGCGCGATATCTTATCTATGCTTCGCCTTTAAACACATTTCTTTGACAAAGAAGAGAAACTTTTTCCGCTTATTCCGCGATGTTCAATCTTTCCGCCGAACAAATTAATTATCGTATAATTATTATTATTTTTTTTTTATTGAACTTTGTATCTCAATCACTTATTCACGTTTATTTCACTTATTATAGATCAAAATGATCAAAATTGATCTTTGAAGCAATTAATGATATCATAGTTTAAGATAAGATATTCATGGCGTTATATTGAAAAAATATAAATTCATCAATGGGATCCTTTATTCTTTAATCAAACGTAGCGCTTCGATTACAATTAAATAAAATAAATTACCCAACAGAAATTGGCAAAAGAAACGGAAAACAAGTTACCAACTGCACGAACAATTACTCCATCTACTTTCACATTCTACGAATCATTCGAATACCTTCAAGAAATAATTACATCTCGAAACGGCATTACGCATCCAATGACATTCAGCCTTGGAGCAAGCGCCAATCCAATATACCACTCCTCCGCAATTAACTCCATTAATCGAACAACAATGCCAAATAATCGGCAACGGGAGAACGAACGACTACCAATTACCAATTTCGTCCAACGCTCGCGAATCTACGGAACTCTTTCGAGCTCGCTTTCAAAGGAACAATCGCCACCGTTCTCCCCGGTAACAAATCGGCGAACGTCACTTATGCAACTTTCGGCCGATCCGAAAAACCGGCATTTCTCGAGATCGGATCGGGAACAACGGGTCTACCTGGGCACATTTTACGCGGGCACAACAAAGCGTGCGGACGCAGCGGAGGAGGGAGGAGGGGTTTAGAAAAAGAGAGAGGGATTCCACCGAGTTCGGGTCCAGAAGCGCAGCTGTCGAGCGTGGCCGCGCGGACGATTCTCGGCCGACGCGGGCTCTCCTGGCCAGTTCGCGTGGTGAGCGTGCCGCGCTCGGTCGCTTCCTTCCCTGTCCTCTGACGGATCGCTTAGATCGCCACCACGGATACAGAGTTTGCAGAAATCGCCCGACACCGAATCGTTGTCCCGACTTGTCGTCTTGGAACGAGAGAATCTTTTTCTTTACTGCGGTGTAAACAAGGGAACTCGTCGTAGCTCGTCAAGAATGTAACTTGATCGTCTCGAAACGATGTCTCGGCATCTCTGCTCGGCAGTTTCGTTCGAGGAAATCGGAATTGGAGGAAATGGGGGAAATCGTGGTACGAGGTTTGGTGGTGTGAAGGAGGGAGGGAGGACGGTTCGGAGAATCGAGGAAGAATCGTGGAACGACGAGGTTGAGCAAATCCTCGATCGGACGAGACTCGTGGAACAATCGTCGCGATTCGTGGCCGAGATTTAATAGCTCGTTTTCGTGATCCGGTGGGGAAACGGATCGAGATCCCCGAGGAAAGAAGGAAATGGAAGAGGCGGAGGAGGCGGAGAATCGAGGACGAAAACGGCGAAAAGGACGGCGAATGGGAAGAAGAGGCTTGAGAACGCCGGATAATGGCTGCCTCCCGCGGGGATCTGGGGATCGGCGACGATCGAACGACAACCGCCA